CATTACACACACACACACACACACACACACACACACACACACACACACTCACCCTTACATCACACATGCACATATACAAACACACATACATGAAACAATAATAATTTTTTTAAAAATGTCAGTTTTCTCAAGCAATTGCATAGGTTTTATTTTCAAACTTATAGCACAGACCTGAAGAGAATATGAATGGAGGAAACACATCTCAACATGATACAAACTGAAAGACCTGCAGCCAATATCATAACACGTAGAGAAAAACTCAAGGCATTTCTACTAAGATCAGGAAAAAGTCTAGGAAGTCTGGACTCTCCACTCCTGTTCAGTACACTGCTTGAGATCTTAGCTATAGCAGCAAGACAAGAAAAAGACAAGAGACACACAGGAAGGGAGAAGTCAAAGTGTCCTTATGTGCAGATAACAGGAGCCTACACATAACAGACTCTAAAGACCCCACCAGAAAATTCTTAGAGCTAATAAACACCTTCAGTAAAGTGCTAGGACACAAGATTAACAAACAAAAATCAGTAGCTTTCCTATAATCAATGACAAATGGACTGAGAAGGAAATCAAGGAAACAATATTAACTACAGCAGCCTCAAAAGCAATAAAATACCTTGGAAAAAAACTAACAAAAAATTAATGATCCCCACAATAAAAACTTTAAACCATTGACAAAAGGCATTGGAGGAAAATGTCAGAAAGAAGATTTCCCATGCACATAGATTGGAAAAATTGCTGTTGTGAAAATCGCTGTTCCAAAAAAAAAAGTCTATATGTTCAATATAATCTCCACTAAAATTCCACCACTCTTCACAGAAATAGAAAAACATCTAGAATCATATAAAATCAAATAAAAGTACCTGGGACTCCAAATCAATCCTGCACAATAAAAATAATGCTAGAGGTATCATTATGCTTCATTTTAAGATATACAACAGATCCATAGTATTTAAATATAGATATGTAAATCAGTGGAATAAATTGAGGACCAAGATATACTTACTTATATGGTAGTTCTATTTTTAGTCCCTGAGAAATTTCCACACTGATTTCAACAGCACCTGTATCCTTTTACACTCCTACCACCAGAGAGGAAGGGCTTCCCCTCCCCCACATCCCCACCATCATTTGTTGCCATTTGTTTTCTCAATGATATCCATTTTGATTGGAGTGAGATAGACCTCAAATCATTTAATTTATAAGTCCCCAATGGGGAAGAATTCGACCACTTTAAAAATGTTTCTTATCCATTGGGTTTTGTTTCTTTTTTCTTTTCTTACTTTTTTGTGTATGTGTATTTCTCCTGTTGAGAACTCTCTGTTTATTTCCATAGCCTATTGTGTTATTTGGTTTCTTGATGTTTTCAGGTTGTTGTGTATTTTGTTTTTTATTCCCCTGTCAAGGGTGCAGCTGGTGAGGTTTTTCTCCCACCACATAATCCAAAGGACTCTGTCTCCTCTTACAGAGATACTTGCCCCTCTGTGTTCATTGCTGCTCTAGACATACTAGAGGAAATGGAAATTGCCTAGCTGTCCAGTGCTGAGATGGCAGGGTGAGGAACGTAATGGAAATGGGGCACTATAATAATCCATGTGAGGAAGATACAGACCACCACACTAATTTACACAATTAAGTTTATAAAGTTCTTTAGTTTTGGCCATTGACCAAGAGTGGGCTCATGCCTCAAAGCCTCCTGGTGCGGAAGGTCAGAGGTACAGCATTTTGAAGGCAGAACCTATAATTTCACTGATGTTGGATGAGAGGCAAAGTTACCTTGCATCATTTGTTTTGACAGAGCATTGCTATTTCAGACACAATATGACACTTAATTTTGACTTACACCTTCTTTGATTATTTTTGTTTAACTTTGTATATCACTAATTATTTTGGTTAATACATCTGGACCATAGTCATGGAAATCCCAAATGTGTTTCCAAGACAGACATCACTGTTGTGGGGAGGAAGGCTGAAAAGTATCTGAGGTAACCAAAATGGAGTCAGAGAAAGGATGACTTTTGTCAATTTAGTATATGTATGTGATGGATTTTTTGAGCTTAAAGAAAATAAAATTCATAGGAAAATGGATGGAACTGGAAAATATTATGCCAAGTGAGGTAATCCAGTCCTAGGAAGACCAATGTCTCTCTCAAAAGTTGGTCCTACCTTGAAATTTTTAGGTTTGTGTGTTTAAGTCAGATGCCTATAGAGGCCAGGAAGTGTGAAAGGGGCCACTGCTGGGGAGGGCAGTAAATGTGTGTTATATGAAAACAGAGAGCGAACACTGGAGTATAAAGGTTCACTTGGGGCTAAGGGAGGAGGAAGGAGGTGAGGGGGTGGAGGGAAGTTCATCTGAAACAAGATCTGTGTGAAAAAGCCATGTGGAAATGTACAATTTTATAAGTCAATTAAACAAAAATAATTTAAAAAATGTGTTGGAAGGGTGGTTCTTCTCTGTGTGAGTGGATAGTGCTGCTCCCAGGGTCATGGGTTCTTAAGCGAAACTTCTGGCACAGATGTAAGATTTCTCCTTATTAGTTGTTGACCCTGGAAACTCCAGGTGTCACAGAAGTGTAAGGCAGGTGTCCCAGATCCACCTGGGTTTAGAGTAAGGCCACGTTAGGTCTAGGGGGTGAAGAGAACCAACTAGAATGCTGGTTACACAGTTATCAAATCCTCGGAGTTGGGGATGTAACTCTGGCATACCGGGGCAGGCCTGGAGCCCTGGCTTAGGTACCAGCACTACTGCACAATAGAAGTAAAAACTACCTAGAAGTAGACAACAAACACACAGAAGGAAGAACACGGTGACCTTTGGAAAGGGTGGCCATGATGGAGCTTGAGGGAAGCCCTGTGGTCCTCTGTCTTTCCTGTGTGTCTCACTGCTGCTCTCTCCCCTCTCCCACTCCCCCACCTCTGTCCTTCTCCATTCTTCCCTCTTCTCTTTTCTTTCTGCTCTTTGGTTTTCAAGGTAGAGAGCAGAAGCAGTTTCACTTTGTAGCCCAGGCTGGCCAGCACCCTCTATGTAGCACAGGATGTCCTTCAACTTGCAAACCTTGGTGCTCAGGCTGAGTCCTGAGATTATAGGTGTGTGCTCCTGTTCCTCCTTCTGAAGTACTGGAAATGTTCTATAAAAAATCTGAGTTTCACAAATACAAATATGTCACATTGTGAATATACATCAAGCTGTCTAGTCAGATTTCTATAATGTTGTATGTATGTGAATGTGTGGTTGTATGTGGGTGTGCATCCCTGAGGAGGTCAACAATAGTGTTATCCTCACTCTCACACTAAACCTGAGGAATGAACCAGAGCTTTCTGTGTGTTTTGTTTGTTTGTTTGTTCGTTTTGTTTTTGTTTTGTTTTGTTTTTCGAGACAGGGTTTCTCTGTGTAGCTTTGCGCCTTTCCTGGAACTCGCTTTGTAGACCAGGCTGTCCTCGAACTCACAGAGATTCACCTGCCTCTGCCTCCCGAGTGCTGGGATTAAAGGCCTGTGCCACCACTGCCTGGCCAATAAGAGCTTTCTGATCTAGCTAGAATGACTGGTCAGCAAGTCCCCGGCTCCCCCTCCCACTATCAGACTTTTTTTTACCTGGTGCTGGGGATCTGAACTCAGGTCCTCATGCTTACAGAGTCATACAGAAAGTACTGCCCCAGCCTGCACTTTCTCTGTGTGTATCTCATACTCTGATAAAAGTTAACCTTATCATAAACTTTTACAATTTTTATTCTTTGAGAATATTTAGAACTTCATACATACGATATATTTTAATCATACTGGGCCTCACTCACCCTCCACTGCTACCTTACAACAGAATTCCCCGCAAAGTCCCCCTCCCGACAACTTCTTCCTCCTTTCCTCTCTTCCCCTCAGTGCCCCTCCCTCCCTCCCTCCCACCCTCACCCCTCCCTCTCTCTCTCCCCTCCCTCTCCTTCCCCATTCCTCTCCCTCCCCTTCTTCAATGACCACCGAGTCCAGTCAGTGCTGCCCATGTACACATGGAGTAGAATCATCCCCTGGATAGTCAACACACCAAGGACCACACTCCTGAAGAAAACCGACTTTCCCTCTCCTGGCAGTCATCAACTGTCCATAGCTCCTCAGCTGGAGGGGAGGGCTCCTGTGACCCTCCCCCATTCACGCTGGAATGTTACAGAGACTATTAGAGGATGAAACTGACTTGTTTTCAACATTGACCTTTGTGGTCTAGGAAGTGTCCTGTACTGCACACACTGCACCATCTGACTGCAGGTTCACAGTCTACACTTGGTCCCCCTCCTCTTCTTGTTCTTCAGGATTAGAGTTTGATATTTAGGGCAGCCACCCAAACCCCAATCCTCCTGCCTCAGTCTCTTGGTTATAGGGATTACAACAGTGAACAATAAATTCTTTCTCAATTGGTCTCTTAAGATGTAAAATGAAACAATAAATTAATTTATATTGACAACCTGAGCGCTTAACAAGCCGTATCCTGGGCTGTCCCGACCCCATGTTTGTTCCTTTCTGTGGTAAGCAGATATTCGCCTCCTGTTTCTTCCCTACCCCATCTGCTAAAAAAACACCCCATCCCACCCCCTCTCCACACAGAAATCTTTACTTTCTTTTGTCTCTTCCAGGATGCTGGATGCTGGCTTCTCATCCTCCATCACTGATGTGGGCCTGACCTAAGGCACCATGCAGACTGCTCAGCTCTCTGGAATCTCCTCCTGAGCCAGGGGTCAGGAACCCTAAGGCTTCACAGTGCTCCAACCCCAAGGCATATTGACTCCACTCCCCACGCCCCCGCCACCCCTGCGCCTCAGGGGCCCCAGTCTCATGCCTCCACCAGGAACGACCTGAACCCACCCCTGTACCCTACTGCACACTGCCCTCCCAGACCCCATGGTGCCTCGACCCCATAGCCTCCTCCCCCACCCCACCACATCCTGGCCTGCTCCTTCCTCTCTTATCTTTGCAAGCCACCCATGTTGCAGCCCTTGAAGGAGGACAGCCTAGGTGGCCCGGAAGCAGAGGCTCCAGGACGCTGAGGGGCAGAAACCAGAGCCCCGGGGAGAAGTTGCAGCTCTCCTCCCGTCCTGTGCACAAGGAGACTGGGCCCCTGCGTCTGACCCTGGTGAGTGTGGGCAGGCAGGGCTGGGAAATCCTTTGCAGCTTCATTTGCAAGTGTGAAATGCAGACTACTGGCCATGTCATCTGTCTGCAGAGGGTATGGTGTTCACAGCGGTGGGTTGAGGATGTACAACCTTTGATCTCCAAATGTGTGAAGGTAAATAAAGTTAATGTTGGGTGGGGTAAAGTTTTATCAAGCAGTGAATTTACCACAAGTGCAAAAGAAATTTGTTAACACTGGTACTTAAGGAACCGGAACAATTTATTCTTTTTCTTTATCTCACGATTTAAAATTTGTCCAAAAATCTCTAGTTTGCTATACAGATAGTCACCAGCTTCCTACAACTCTTACTCAGATAGTGTGGAAAAACTTCGAACAGACAGAAAAATTAAAAGCCAAAATAACTAGATTGTAAACCTTTCAGTGACTGTGTATCTGCAATGCTGTCCTCTTTTCTTGTGTAATACTGGAGATGTAATCGCTTGTCTGGTTTTACACACACAGAAAGTTTAATGGTGACACATATTTATTGAGCACCATGTGTCCAGGCCTGGGCATTTGCACAGAAGAGCCCTTCTTATGGTGTTAACACAGGCCTCTCCAACAGTGCATTCTCTTCAATCAGCCTGTGTTAAAATGCACACACATGCAGAACCATTTCTGCACTTACCTGTGGTTAAGGATCTGTGGAGCACTTAGAAGGAGGATAAATATGATGAGTGGACAATGTTAGGGTCTGCGAGAAGTCATATAAGACCACCAGTCACATATGCAACCAACAAGAGAGTTTATTAAAAATTACCAACTTGTTGGGGTCTGATCATCCCACAAAGGCTCCTTTTAAGTAAGGTTAGGGGAATTCCAGGGAGGGGAGACTAGTCTGGGGGCGGATTAGTGGGTTTAAACAAAAAGTTTCTAGGATTGGTAGGAGGCTCTAGTGGTTAGGGACTTTCCGGAGGCAGAGTAGGGAAAGCTATATTTAGCTAGCAGAAGGCCATGGGGGCCTGCTGATTAGTTGCCCTTTAATTGTGGTTTTCCAGATAATTACTTGCTCAGCTCCAGCTCTAGTAAATGGAAACCAAGACCTGATCTCTGGCAGGGTTACTAGGAGAGCCTGCCATGGCCCTTGTCTGGCTCCCTGACTCTCTCATAAAATGAAACACAAACTAGAATGGACAATTTTTGTGAAAAAGAACATCAGAAGAGACATAAATACATTTAGGGGCCTCAAAGCTGAATTGAGTTACATTTTAAGTGATTTATTCATTTTTATTTACTGTGTATGAGTGTTTTTTTTTTGTTTGTTTTTGGTTTTGGTTTTTCGAGACAGGGTTTCTCTGTGTAGCTTTGCACCTTTCCTGGAACTCGCTTTGGAGACCAGGCTGGCCTCGAACTCACAGAGATCCTCCTGGCTCTGCCTCCCGAGTGCTGGGATTAAAGGCGTGCGCCACCACCGCCCGGCTGAGTGTTTTGATTGCATGTATGTAAGTGCACTGCTTGCATACCTGGTGCCCCTGGAGGCCAGAGAGGACACTGGATCCCCTGGAACTGGAGTTGCAGACAGTTGGAAGTCCTCATGTGGAAGCTGGGAATGGACTCCAGGTCCTCTGCAGGAACAGTATGTGCTCCTAACTGCTGAGCCATCTCTCCAGTCCCTTAAGATGCATTCTTGAGACCATAACAAGAAGGGACTGATCAGTCTCATACCTCAAGAACAAGAAGGGGAAACAGTGGCTTTTCAGAGAAGCTTCTCCTGCCTTTGCCTTTGAGGGACTATCTCTTGTGTGTGCTAATCTGGGATGTTGAGGAGACTCAAAGGAAGGCTGTGCCTAGAACCATCCCATAATGCCAGCAGCAGAGCCTATGCTAAGGGAGACTGTAGATATCATGTTCCTTACCCTGTCACAGACACCTTTGATGAACAAACAGGTCTTACTTAAAGACAAACCAAGATTTTTATATGGGATATGTGAATTTCATGTTCTTCAAGTATTTGGTAAATACTTACCTTATAGCTACATTGTATATATTTTGGGAGCACCATGTGACCTTTCAGTGTATTTGGACACAGTGTATGATCAGCTCAGGGCAAGTTTCCTGACACCCCAGACATTCCGTTGACTAGTTTTGATTTAAGTTTGGTTGTATTTGAAAACCCTATGAAGTAGGAAGTTTCAGAATCAGCTGTATGAGGAAAATTAAAATGAGGGATTAAGATGGATTATGAAAATTAGAGAACTGAAAAGTCTGTCTTGCACACACACCCACCCGCATACACACACCCACATACACATAAGCTAGGTGGGTACATAGAAAATTAAAATCTATTCTTTACGAAGATTATTGCCCAGCTCACTCAGGATGTGAAACAAAAATTAATAGTCTAAATGACTCTGGCTTCACACCTTTTCTTTCCAAGAATGGCTTTATTGTATTGTAATTAACATTATACACCTCACAGATTTATAGTGCACAATTGTGTGGCTACAGGTATATTCAGAGGTGTGTAAGCTTATTTCCAAAATCTACTCTGCTTTTTTAAATCCAGAGATGCTTTACCACAGCTTCTCTTGGTGTGTGTGTGTGTGTGTGTGTGTGTGTGTGTGTGTGTGTGTATGTTGCACTGTGTTTGAAGATCACAGCATAACTCTTGAGAGTCGGTTTTTTCTTCCAACTTGTGATGAGATCTCCCCTGTACTTCCTTCCATGCTGGCTCCTCCAGGTTATCTCACCCTTCAGCTTCCAGGTGATTCCCCTGTGTTGGGATTTCAAAGGCATGCCACTATGTTCCCCTTTTCATGGTGTTCTTGGATTGAATTCAGATCTCCAGTCTTGCGCAGACAGCACGTTTACCTGCAGAGACATCTTGCTCGATCCTGGATGGTTTTCAGAGCCTTTCTTGGTATGTAGTTCAGAGAATCATCCAGAGCTTTCCATATGCTACACAAGTGCTCTGTCAGCCCTGTGGGATTTTAAATATAGAAGCAGGATATTTAATCAGACTGTGTGAAAGACACCTTCTGATTGGTTTAATAAAGGGCGGAATGGTCAATAGCTAGGCAGAAGAGAATAGGCTGCACTTCCCAGCAAAAAGAGGAATTCATGGTTATGAATCTAGATGTGCACACACACACACTCACTCACACACACACTCTACTATGGCAAATCAAAGTGTAGGCCAAGTTCCCTGGGTCAGAGACAGACTACTGAGTACACACACTGAAGAGAAAGCATTAATGCTTACAGCACAGAACAGCAAATATTCATCGGCAGATATGACTGCCCTCAATAAATGTATACTATTAAAGAATATTAAACTACAAATAAAAATCCCAAGTCACTCACCAGTATTTTGTCCAGCTGCATTTGTCTAGTAGGGTTTGTTTTATGGAGTCTGCGATACTGATTTTCATTACATATATATTTATAGTTTGTGGTGGATTGCTCCAATTATTAATATGTAGTTATCTTTATTTTTCCTAACTTTGGCTGGATATCTGCTTTTTTCATCCTTGCACTTTCAGTCTCCATATACGTTGCCAGCTGGTTGAGTTTCCTGCTGCAATAAACAATTGGTTATTGTTTTTGCTTTTCTTTTTTTTTTTTTTTTAAATTTATTTTGCAATACAATTCAGTTCTACATATCAGCCACGGATTCCCTTGTTCTCCCCCCTCCTGTCCCCCTCACCTTCCCCCCAACCCCCTCCCCCCATTCCCATCTCCTCCAGGGCAAAGCCTTCCCCACAGACTGAGGTCAACCTGGTAGACTCAGTCCAGGTAAGTCTAGTCCCCTCCTCCCAGGCCGAGCCAAACAATCCTGCATAGGCCCCAGGTTTCAAACAGCCAACTCATGCAATGAGCACAGGACCCGGTCCCACTGCCTGGATGCCTCCCAAACAGATCAAGCCAATCAACTGTCTCACCCATTCAGAGGGCCTGATCCAGTGGGGACCCCTCAGCCATTGGTTCATAGTTCATGTGTTTCCATTCATTTGGCTATTTGTCCCTGTGCTTTATCCAACCTTGGTCTCAACAATTCTCGCTCATATAAACCCTCCTCATTCTCGCTAATTGGACTCCCAGAGATCCACCCGGGGCCTAGTCATGGATCTCTGCATCCAGATCCCTCAGTAGTTGGATGAGGTTTCTAGCACAACAATTAGGGTGTTTGGCCATCCCATCACCAGAGTAGGTCAGTTCGGGCTGTCTCTCGACCATTGCTAGCAATCTGTTGTGTGGGTATCTTTGTGGATTTCTGTGGGCCTCTCTAGCACTTTGCTTCTTCCTATTCTCATGTGGTCTTCATTTACCATGGTCTCCTATTCCTTGTTCTCCCTCTCTGTTGTTGATCCAGCTGGGATCTCCCGCTCCCCCAAGCTCTCTTTCCCTCAACCCTCGCCTTTCATTACCCCCACTCATGTCCAGGCTGTTCATGTAGATCTCATTCCATTTCTCTGTCATTGGGTGATCCCTGTGTCTTTCTTGGGGTCCTGTTTTCCAGGTAGCCTCCCTGGTGATGTGAGTAGCAGACAAGTCATCCTTGTTTCATGTCTAGTATCCTGCTATGAGTGAGTACATACCATGTTTGCAAAGCGACAGCCTACAGAATGGGAAAAGATCTTCACCAACCCCACATCTGACAGAGGACTGATATCCAGAATATATAAGGAATTCAAGAAATTAGACAGCAAAATGCCCAACAGTCCAATTAAGAAATGGGCTATAGAACTAAACAGAGAATTCTCAACAGAGGAAACTCAAATGGCCGAAAGACATTTAAGGAACTGCTCAACATCCCTAATCATCAGGGAAATGCAAATCAAAACAACTCTGAGATACCACCTTACGCCTGTCAGAATGGCTAAGATCAAAAACACTGAAGACACCTTATGCTGGAGAGGATGTGGAGCTAGGGGAACTCTCCTCCACTGCTGGTGGGAATGCAAGCTTGTACAACCACTTTGGAAATCAATATGGCGCTTTCTTAGAAAATTGGGAATCAATCTCCCCCAAGATCCAGCTATACCACTCTTGGGCATATACCCAAGAAATGCTCAACCACACCATAAGAGCACTTGTTCAGCTATGTTCATATCAGCATTGTTTGTAATAGCCAGAACATGGAAACAACCCAGATGCCCTTCAACTGAAGAATGGATAAACAAAATGTGGTACATATACACAATGGAATACTACTCAGCAGAGAAAAACAATGGCATCATGAGGTTTGCAGACAAATGGATGGATCTAGAAAAAATCATCCTGAGTGAGGTAACCCAGACTCAGAAAGACAAACATGTTTTTGCTTTTCAATTCAGCCTGCCAGATGCATCTTTTACTCCAGAATTGAGACCATTTATAGTTAGGTTAGTGTTAAAATGTTTGTAGCGAATGAAATCCTATAATTTGGTGAGTTTCTCTTCGCCTGATTTTCTGTTTTGGCTTCAATTACTATGTGTTTTTTTTTTTTTCACTCTCATCTTAGAAGTTTGCTGACTCACTGGCAGTTTGCTTCCTATAGCAGTGATAAAACACCATGATCAAAATCTACTGGGGGAGGAAAAGGTTTATTTGGCTTACACTTCCTCACCACAGTCAATGCTGAAAGAAGCCAGGTGGGAACTTAGGCAGGAACTGAATGAGAAACCATGGAGGAACATGGCTTACTAGTTACTCCTCATGGCTTGCTCAGCCTGCTTTCTTAAACATCCTAGGACTCCAAAGTGGGTTGGGTCCTCCCACATCAGTACCTCCCACATCAATCATCAATCAAGAAAAGGCCCCACAGACTTGCCAATCCCATGGAGGCAATTCCTCAGCTGAGGATTCTTCCTCCCAGATGACTCCAGCATGTGTCAAGTTGACAAAAAGCTAACCAGCACACTTACTGAGTCAGCACTGTTGATTCCTGAGAACTACAGGAGTTATTTTCTCCTGAGCCCTTGGGATTGTAGCTTTCTGTCTTCTTCCTTTGTGTTTTTATTTTCCTGGGAGTGTCTTCCTCACGGCAGCCTCAGTGGTCAGCATTGCTTTAGTTATGTTCATCCTGAAGGTCTTTATAAAGGACAGATTTGCTGTAGTCACATTGGTTGTCAGTTCTTTTCTTTGAGTGCTCAGAATACATAGGTCCACGCTCTGACCTTTAGCAGTTCTGTCAAGGAATGTGCTGTTGTTCTGACTGGTTTGCCAATCAGGTACGTTGTTAGTAACTTGGCTCTTCTCTTAGCAGCTTCCAGCATTCTTTTCTTGCTCTGCACTCTCTGCATTTTACAAAAAGTGTAATATGGCGAGAATATTTTCGCGTCATATCTATGTGGTGGTCTAAATTACTTCTATGTGAACATCTTAATCTTTCAGTAGATACAGGACATTTTACGATATTCCTTCAATGAGCAGGTTTTCTATGTTTTTAGTCTCTATTTCAGCATTCTATTCTAATGAAAACATTCCTGTTTGTTCTGTCTTGTCCTGGAGGTCATCACAAGTTTTTCTTTATTCCTCTCTGAATGTGGTAATTCATTAACCTTGTCTTTGAAGTCCTGGTATTTTTATCTTTCAGTTAATTTAGTCTGTTGTTGGTTCTTTCTCCTGAATTACAAAAAAATTATCTGTAAACATTTCCAAAATTCCATTAAAAAAAAACTCTCTTTATTACTTGTATCCTATATTGTTTTGCTTATTTCCTTCCGTTGTCTCTTTTTGAAGTTGCAATCCTTTCTAAGTTAACCTCCTGAATGATTTCATCAGCATTCTATTTAATCAAGTATGCTTAGATTCAATTGCTGACAACTTATAATCTTTTGAGGAAGTGGTATAACCTAGTTTTCTCACATCCTTGTGTTTCGTTGTTGTGGGTGGTGCACCTGTGGGAGTGAATATGTTTTACACATTGATGTGAGGACGTGCACAGTCAGCATTCATCTGCCAAGAGCTTTATCCTCAGCACTGGTCAGGATGGAGAAAAGGAACCTCAGTAACAACAATATCAGAGCCAACTTTCCACATTTATCATAATGGATATAACAAAATAGTTGAATAAAGGATGTGTAGAAAGAAAGGTTAGAAAAAGAAAAGGAGCAGAAGAGAAAAGAGCAAGAGATTAAAAACAATATGGTTACATAGTTAAAAACATGTAAATAAAATAGATAAACCACAGGCCTTCCATCCTGACACTTGGAAGGTGAGGAAGGAGGATTAGAAATTTGTGGCAAGTCTGAACCTTCCAAGGAGACCCTGCCTCATAGTCAATGACAGTAAGATTAAGGAAACACAAGACAAGGATTTTTTAAAGATTAAAAATTTTTTAAATCTTAAAAATAATTTACTATATGAAAATTATATATAACATTTTAGTATCTGGAAGACAGAGACCTGGACGAGCCTCTCTCTTGATGCTCTCATAGAATTTGCCAGGTCTGGGCATTGGGGTCATACTTGGTGTGTGCCATCCCTCTCTGCTGCCGCCTTCCCGGCTGGTGCTGTACACAGGACACAGGTGCCTTAAGAAACAGAGCATCATTCACTCTAAGACTGCCTGCCTTTGTATGTTCTTTGCCACTGCAAGTCCCAGAGGTCATGTGGCCTGTAGTCCAGGTAGACACTTCCGTTTGTGGGTTTGTCTAATCCAAGCCTTGTCTCCAGAAGGCTTTGGGGGAAGTGGGTGTGAAGTTCAGTGTGGAGTTCCATAATGGAGAGACGTCCTGGGAGCTGAGCTGTGTGCCTAAGTAAGCATTTTCAAATCCTATCCAGCAGCAAACCACCATGCAATAAGGAAGAATCTGTGGAAACTGAGTCATCCTTTCACTGGGGTTTGAGTTCTCAGCCCATGTCTGCTGCACACAAATTGCAGCATGAGGCATTTTCACAAACCAAAGAATCTTCCAGCCACCTGCTCAGAACTCTCAGGCTCAGCAGTCATCCACAGGAGCCATGTCATTCCCAGTACAGGAGTCAGGGCTGCCTGTCCTCATGCCTCCACAGCCTGAGCCAGGAGTGTGTCTGTCAGTCACTCCCACCTGCACTACTGTCCCTCATGGCTGCCCACCACCCAGCCCATCCCAGGGCACCACGACATGTGCTTGATGGTTTTGGATTCCCATCACAGCTCAAACTCAGAGAACAGAAGCTCCTGGTTCTAGCACTGTGAGAGACTGAGTGTGCAGAGCTCAGGCTGTGCCCATCTGTGTTCCTTTGTATCGTATAGGACAGTAGTTTTCAGAGTGTACCTTGCCCTGGGTGACTGACTCCATTTTATACAGCAGTGGTTTGCTTCATTTTGAAAGCAATGCTGAGGGAAAAATGACTCAATACCTTATATGTGCAAATGTCCAGCACAGATAGTAAGACATAGATTGATAAATAACTTATTAACACAAATGAACTATTCCTACCTATAAATGTATTAAGCCAGGAGCACCTAGACCCATGATATTTGAAAACCTTGCCTAAGAAACCAAGCTTGTGTGCGTGTCCAGAACACCAGAGCAATGAGTGCTGTCATGCCCTCACTTGGATCACACCCACTGAGCCATCATCAGGCCACCTGATGTGTGCATCACTAGATACAAGGCAACAGACTCTCAACTCTGACCCCAGGACTTCTGCTCACCATGACCACATAAGTGAAGTGGCTCACTGAGCTCCCATTTGTTCAGACCCTTGTGCCTGGAGTCAGCTCTGTGCTTTGGAGCAATCTGTCCTTGAACAATATCTGTACTTAACTGACACTGTGCCTTGAACCAACTGTGTATTTTGGCCACCCTGTTCCAGAATTGCTCTCTATGTATGTGTATCTGCTACATGATTTTGTCTTCCACAAATTCACATATCTGAACACCTGTGCATGTGCACACACACAACACCCCCACACACAGGAGATGTGGTAACGGTGGTCATGTGTTCTACATTTGAATTTATATAATGTATTATGGTTTTGAAGTAAGACAAATCTGCTCCCTCATCCTCCCCTTCTTCCTTTATGAATTATGAATCACATTTATACTCTACTTGTTAGGGTGCATTTGTTTCTTAGGAATTGGTTGTCTAAGGGGAGTCTATGTACTCGGTTCCGTCTGGTTCTCACTGGGTCCTTAGATAATCATAGTCATATGTCCTGTTCATCAGGAAGGAATCTGCCTATGACTTCACAGTTTAAAACAATCCTAAAGTGTCCTGTGCTGTGTAATAATGTTTTTCTGTGTTCACCATCAACATAATATTGCTGTTCCTTCTGCAGGAAGGAAGAACCTCTGGAGATGTCTTCCAATGATGACCCTGTTGCAATGCCAATGATAGAAAGAAATCCCAGTGACCTTCCTGGAATGGACACCGGTGATCTGGACACACAGACTGGAGAGGCTGTGTTGAGTTTTCATAACATCAGCTATCGAGAGACGGTGCAGAGTGGATTTCCATTTCGTAAAAAAACACGTGTGATAGAAAGACTGTCTAATATCAAGTATGTGCATGAACTAAAGAGATCAATATACTGAACAACTCAACAAACACAGACTTTTTCTATTATCAATAACCTGCATATGTATGTGTATATATCTGTTTATGTATATATAGATATATATACATATATATATGTTTGTGTGTGTATAAGTGTATGTGTATATATTTGCTTCTGTGTGTATGTATGTAAGTGTTCAAATGTGCATGAAATAAAGAGGTCGCAACATTGAACAACTTTTTCAACCAACACACTTTCTCTATTATTAATAAGCTTTGTATGTATTTTTTTGTGTGTATGTGTATACATCTGTTTATGTGGGTGTGTAAGTGTATGTGTGTGTATGTGTTCACATGTGCACATGTGTGCATGCTAGGACACACCCATGGCACAAGGCCATCACAGGACAACCTTGAGCACTGGTCTTCACCTTCTACCATGTTGCAGACAGAGTCTCTCACTGTTCACTGCTGGGTGTGCCAGGATAGCAGCCTGCAAGAGTCCTGGGATTCTCCTGTCTCTGTCTCCATCTCTCCATAGAGCATGGAGTTACAGGTGCCCACTACTGCACCCAAGGTCATGTGAATTCTGGGTGTTTAACTTAGGTCCTCCCCCTCACACAGCAAGTGCTTCACTCAATGAACCATCCCCCAGCCTCTTCTTGTCATACATAAAGATAGATTCATGATCTAGTCTGAATATGAAATAACAAATGGGAACATAGTATGTTTTCTATAAGCATATGCCTTTTTCAATCTGAATATTCACTATGCTGAATAAATCAATTAGTTTTTTGAGACATAATTTGTGCTTTTGCTCTACCTACATTAGTAAATAATGTCCTCTACTTGAAGGGTGTCTCCCAGTTCTAAACTGAGCATATTCTAATCTCCTTATCAGGGAAGGAAATCAACATTTTGTTGGTGTGTATTAACTTTTATATTTTGATTAAGGTAGTGTTTTGCTTTGTTTTGTTTTGAGTGTTAAACTTGGCAACAATCTTTTGTCCCCTGAGTGCTTCTTTCTAGTCTTTGGATTTCTACTTAAGGTGCATTGATTTTGGTTTGATCCTATTTTAGTAGTAACAACACTGATATCAGTATTCCATGAATCACTGGTTTGTTGTGATGAGGTTTAGGAGGCAGCAAGCAGGGCTACATGAAGATACTGATCATCAAACATGAACGAGAAGCTGTTGTGTACTTGACACATAAAGGCCATATGTGTAACAGAGTCTTCATGAGAACCTGCTGCTTGCTTCAAGGAACACTGAACTTAGATGCACCATGTTTTAAAAAGAGAAGTCATTTAAATAATAAACAAAAAGGATTTTGTGATATCTGAGGCATATTTCTGATGAGTCCCCACTAGCAGTTGACATCTTTTGTAAATAATAGACCTCTATTAATATTTAAATTATTTCCTATGAGTTTGGCTTATTTTCTGTATACAATTTCATTCAATTACAACAGAATATACAGTGTAGACACTAAGCTAATATAACTTCTTTTAAATAGAAAAATCACCCATAATATGTTTTTGTGTTTACAGTGGGATCATGAGACCTGGCCTCAATGCCATCATGGGACCTGAAGATGGGAGCCGATCTTGGTGAGTATAACGGAAAGCACATGCGAGCCCTTTGTATCTAGTTTCTGTGCTGTAAAATCACTTCCACAGAGGTTATTTATGTATTGTGTGAGTGTATATGTGTGAGTCTATAAGTATTGTGTGAGTTATTTGTGAGTATATATGTGTGAGTCTGTAAGTATTGTGTGAGTGTATCTGTGAGTGTATATGTGTGAGTCTGTAAGTATTGTGTGAGTATATCTGTGAGTATATATGTGTGAGTCTGGACCCATGTGCTGTGGATAATGTTCAGGAGATGCATTCTAATTTTCTACCAAGAACAGAAAGTCTTACAGGGTCCACTTTACTGATAGGAAATGAGAGAGTGATTGGCATATGGTGTTAGATCATATTATTATCTAATGTGGGGAAAATAATATTAAAATTAGAAAGATGAAGCACAGTTTTCTGGGAACAAGAAATCATCAACAGGGCTAATTCTCAAAATACAGCAGCACATTATGAGTTTGAGTCCCAAGGTCAGATTGCAGGGAGGGATGGTCATGTGGATCATGTCTTGCATTCATAATTCTGGGCTGTATTAGAGCACATAATGAGCAGAAAGCAGTGTGTGTGTGTGTGTGTGTGTGTGTGTGTGTGTGTGTGTGTGTGTGAGAGAGAGAGAGAGATGTCAGTTAAACTTACGATATGCAGAATTTTTGTTTTTCGAGTAGTTAAAAGGTGATAGCTTTTACTGAAGGGAGAAAGTAAACTATACAACATATATAACCCTTTGTAGGTTACTAGATGTTTTAGCTGCAAAGAAAGATCCACATGGATTATCAGGAGATATTTTGATAAATGGAAAACCTCAACCTGCTAATTTCAAATGTACTTCTGGTTATGTACCACAAGTAAGTGTTCATGGGTTTGTAATTTTAGATTTCCTTTGCTTCTGTATGGTTAGATGCTCAGCTTATAGATTTGTGTGTTTCCAATCAAATATATGACACATTTATAGGCCCAACTTTCTCTACACCAGCTTTTCCTAATGACTCATTAGCCTGAAGCTGACATTATTAAATAGGAAGATGGGGAGGGATTGGAGTCTGACAGCTGTGGCTCAGTATTAGTAACTGCAGCTGTGATTTAATTCTACAAAGGACTGCTGTTGTCCGATTTTGCCATTCCTTCATCTTTCTCCACTGCATAGAAGATGACTTCTGCAAATAATTGCAGGTAGCAGTCACCTAAATCCCTGTGCTCTACCTGGAAGGCATGAGGGGGTGAAAATGATTACATCAGGCTCTGGACTTGAAATGAGTAACACGGAAGGCTTATTTTTTCAGTAGAATATTACATTGTGTGTGGTTTATATGAGGATTAGGTTACATTTGTTAAAATGTTTGTCTTAGTGATAACTACATTAAATTGAAATACTATTTAACCTTAAGAATGACGTGGTGATGCACACGGTGACTGTGAGAGACAATATAGAGTTCTCAGCGGCTCTTCGACTCCCAATGACTGTAACAAGAGATGAAAGAAGAAGGCGAATTGATGAGATCCTTGAACTTCTGCATCTGGATAAAGTGGCAAATGTCAAGGTAATGTGAAGAAAAATCTTGAAAGACTCAGGGCCAAAAAAGAAAAATATCCCCATGTTGATAAAATGACCCTCCATTATCAGTTTCCTCTAATGTGTGTGGTCCAGGCGGCTGCCCTCTGTATTAATGAGTAAGTGACTGGTTACATGATGTAAAGTGGAGATTGAACTTGGAAATCTTCTTAGCAATGGTTAAACCTGGGAATGGAGTGTGATCTAGGAGGGAAAAGTGTTCCTCACATGGCCATTTCCAAGTTTCCTCACATGAGCCTCCTCTTCCTCAGCCTTAAACTCTTGACTCATGGAGAATCTGACAAGTGTATTCTTCTATTTATTGTCTCTTCCCTGAGGACTTGTCCCTTTGCTGTTTCAGAATGTTTTCTGGACTGACATATGACCTGGGATTGAGGACTCTGGCTCTGTGTTTCACTCTGCATTTATTTCCTCCAGGGTTGTACTTGGTCTCTTTAGCATTTACTTCTGACTTGTTAAGTGCTTGTTATTTTCTGTAGCCTTTCTGTGTTTTTATCCCATCCTGTCTGTGGTGGCTAGTGTCAACTGTCACCTTGACGCAGTCTGGATCCACCTGGAATCATCTAGAAGAGAGTCTCAATGAGGAATTGTAGTCAGTTGGCTTGTGGGCATTTCTGAGGTGACTGTCTTGATTGAGTTAAGCGATGTGGAAAGACCCAGCCCACTCAGGCAGCACCATTCTTTGTGTTTGGGTCCTGGGTGTCATGAGAATGGGGAAAGTGAGCTGAACACTGACAGGCTTGCTTGCATTCATCCTCTCTGTGCTCTTGACTGGCTGTAACCAGCTGCATCAGCTTCCTGCCTGGACTTCCCTGCAATGGTTGACTGTACTTTCAAATTTTATGCTGAAATAAACCGTTCACTCCTTGTTTACTTATTTAAGATCATTTTATCAGTAACTAGATGGAAACCTAGGATTTCCTTTTGCCCCTGCTCCCTCCTTCTGTCAATATTTAGTACCAGCTCCTGTGTTAGGTTTTAATGGTACAAACTTGAGCAAGAGCAACAGAGTGGACCTGGTGACTCCTATGAGGATTTGTGTAGGATCAGGAGGGGTGAACTTCACAGCTAACTATATCATAGCTAACTAGTTTCTTACTAACATATTTTAAAAGACTATTATGTAATACATTATTACTAAATACTTAATTATTCTTAATCTTTAAAAATTCCATTCTTAACTATCAAAATGAATAAAATCCTTATATCTTCAGCCTGTCAGGTCTATAACCATTTGCAGTCCCCAAATGTTTTTTATTATTATATTGTTATATTTTTATTATTATATTGATTGGGTACTTTATTTTTTAAATGTTTAGAGATTATACTATCAAGATTGCTTCACTCTTCCTGTGTCCTCCAAACCATCCTGTCTCTCACAAGAACATGGACTCATTGAGAAGATTATATATAGATGTCTGCTGAGCAGACATTTGGTTGTATGGATGGAAATGGGCTCCCCAGAATACAATTTCCATGGATTAACTCCTGTGGTGACTTCTCCTTAGAGGCAGTGAGGAATAGAAGATAATGGCTATCGATTCCCATTATACTTCTCCACAGTCATTTATGAGGTGTTTGTCTTGTTGGGAAGAACAATAGAAAAGCTCCATTTACCATGCTTTCTTTTTTCCTGAGTGATGGAATTTTTGTTTGTTTTGGCTCTGTTTTACATTTACAATAAAGTTCTTTCTTTTGTTCTGTTTTTAACAGTAAGTACTCATTGCCCTAAGTTGTTTACTTTTTTTAGGGACAACATACAAAGATATTTATTAACTTCTTGAAGTCATGAAATGTAATGAATTGCCAGAACTTTAATATAATTTTTTAATAATAGATTTTTAAAAAATTGTGTGTGTGTGCATGCATGCTTGTGTGTGTGCGTGCGTGTGTGTGTGTGTGTGTGTGTGTGTGTGTGTGTGTGTGTGTGTGCCTGAATGCCATAGCACACACATGGAGGTCATGGGATACCTTTGTCAAGGATCCTCTCTCTCCTCCACCTTGTTGTTTGTCAGGGTCTGTCTTGTTCTACTGATGCCCTACACCCATGCCTGATGCTCCTGATCCACCTCTCATCTCACTGTAATTACATCTTGATGGAATTATGGATGCATGCCACCACATATAGCTTTTATATGTGAGTTCCAGGGATTGAACCCAGGCTTCAGGCTTGTGTGGCAAGTGCTTTTCCCTCCAACCTTTCATAAGATTTTGATTTAAGAAATGTAGAGGCAATATGTAGTTTCTGTAAAAAGTTGGACTGTTTTATAGCCAGCACAATAGTGTACTTGCTAATACCAGCCTCCTGGGCCCATGAGTGTTGACAACAGCATGCTCACTAAAGCTGTTTCTCACTGCGGCATTTTAAAAGAACCTTAGGGAGTATCTTACTCCTGAGTACTTAATTACTTTTCATCCATAAAAATAAGAACATCTGCTTATCTATAAACTCTATTCTTAACTATCAAAATTAATAATGCCTTTATATCCTCAGCCTTGTCATGACCACACTCACCCACATTCCCCAGACATCCTTTGTTGTATGTTGTCAGTAGGGCTTGATCATGGTTTTGGTTATCATGTTTGGGGAGAATTGTTCCCTATTTATGTGTCCCCATGAATCTTGATATTCCCTCTCACCTTACACAATGACATTGACTGGTCCAAGATTGTGACAGTTTGACCTGTAGACAATAGCATCCTTTGGATTTGCGTACAAGGATGAGTCATGAATTCTGTGGTGCTGTACAGTGTAAATGTCAATTTGCAAAGTCTTAAGGAAGTTAAAAAGGTCATAAAAAGGCAATGTGGAATTTTTGATAAAAAGCAGTGTGTGTGTGTGTGTCTCTGTGTTGTGTTGTGTAATGTGTATATTTGTATGTATGTTGTGTAGAGTGCCTGTGTTGTGTGTGTATGTGTGTGTTGGGAGGGTGTTAAATGACTAAATTACTAGAGATACTTCATCTTCTCCTGTCCCGTCTTCCTCCTTCCTTAGACAGAGATCTCACTGTGCCGGTCTTGGAGTGTGATAACTCATTATCCTAGAACATGGGACTTGATAAAGAACAAACAGTAACTGTCATTAGCATGGGCTTCATGTCAAGTCTGACCTCAGCCTCTTTCTACTCACTTGGAAAAGAGAGATGTCCTTCTTCTCCCAGGTGCCCATACTCTGCATCTTGAGATAATGATATAACAAAATATTTTATTGCTGGAACAGTCTAGTTCACCAAATGACAATGACTGTGAGTGTTTTTGTTGATAATGATGGTTCTTGTTGCTTTAGCCTAGATCTAAAGAGCTCAGGAAAAGGACCAGTATAGCAATGGAGCTGGTTGCTGAGCATCCCATCTTATTCTTGGATGATCCCACCACTGGCTTAGACTTGGTAACTACAGTAGATGTCATCTTGGTTATGAAAAGGTAAGTGCCAAAGGAACATTAAGTTTTATTCACTTAATACCTGGACACTTGTGTATATTTATGTGTAAGAGATTCAGAAGTAAGCATCAGAATTTCTTCTTTGTTTATTAGAGGGAAACTTCATTTAACAAGGAACACATGTCAAGAACAATGAGACAAGAGCATAGGGAAAGATGGCTGTGGGGAAGGTGGAGCACTGCTTTAAATACATGTCCCCATAACCCGCAAGCATGTGACAAGTGAGCTGTGTGAGTGTGTGAGATCTGAACAGAGTGCTGTACAGAGGGGAAATGCATTTGTTCTGAGGCAAAGCATGTTCAAGGTGTCTGGAACATTAAATAGCCCAACTTGACTAGACCTGGTGGCCTGAGGGGATGGAAAGTTGCTAGTGCACTGCTAAAGACACCACAGACTGGGTGACTTGATAGAAGTTAGATTTATTACAGTTCTTGATCCTGGAAGCCAGATATTGAAGTATCCACAGGCTGTGTCTTCTGAGGCCTCGGTCACTGAGCTGTGGATGGTGTCTCCTTCCTCTTCATGTGTCTTAAAGGACACCAGTTACATTAGGACACACTAGTAATTTCATTTAAACTTAATTACCTTTTTAAAAAACTCTGTTTTCAATTATTGCCACATTCTAAGTTTTTAGATGTGAGTCTTTAACAAATGAGTCTTTGGAAGGACACAATTCAGCCCTCCACATTCACAATTGAGATGAGGCAGGTTGGTTGGGTTAGATGTAGATTGCCTGGACCACCTGGGTTTCCATGTCAGGGGATGTGGGAAGGCTTCTGAGTTTAGAACAGAGCATGAACCATGGAGAAGGTTGTCCAGTTGCATCATGGGGATGTAAAGATGTCAGCAGGAGGTGGAGCTGTGGGGGTTCCTTAGCTAGGAAATGGTGTGTTCTGGAGTGCTTTGAAGATGGAATAAATTATGGTGATATTTTATTTGTACTGAAATGTGATTTTATTTGTATGATAATAAAGTTGCTTGGGTGTCAGAGCTATTAGCAAGCCATAGCGAAAGCTGGGCGGTGGTGGTACACGTCTTTAATCCCAGGACTTGGTAGGCAGAGCTAGGTAGATCTCTGTGTGTTCAAGGATACAGCCAGCATTGGAGACACACGCCTTTAATCTCAATACCAACCATAGAAGACCTGGAGGTCTGTACAGACAGGCAGTGACTAGAAGGTCATGTATTTGGGTTTACAACCAATGAGAAGGCAGAACAGAAACTCTATTTAAAAAAAAGACAGACACAGGAAGTAGCTCTATTTTGGAGAGGTACAGCGACAGTGAAGGGTAAGGTTTTTAGCTCTTAGCTATTGCTCTGACCTCTTGGCTTTCATCTCTGTATTGGCTCTGTGTTTCTTATTTAATAAGACGGTTGGTTACATCTACAATAAATAACATTATCTTTGGGATTAGCTCTGGATGTGGTAGCTGAGGGAATGATTCCTAAGGTCTGGGTCCTAAACCTGAGGAAGAATGAAATAAAAGAAATGGCATTTCCTTCTCTCAAGAAAGAAGTCTGTGACTGAAACATTTATAGAAAAAAGTATAAGGGTTAGGTGTCTACATTTTAAAAATTAATAAGAGTTTCAAACTGACTGAATAACCCCAAGAACCGTATAAGGACTGTCTAATTCCCATGACCTGGGCTCCTGGCTGTTGAACTTTACTGCACTCCCTGTCTGTCCTTCCTTCCCCTTGTTCTTTGTTTTGTTCTGACATCATGGTCCATCACCCTAAACACTCCTGCCTGTCCCTCCAAGAACCACATCATCCACCATTGCACCTTCCCGGTGAGGAAGTCAACACCTGGGGCCTTGTCACCTTCTAGTCTGTAGACTCCTCAGGTGTCACACCTTCCCTGTCTGTCCCCTCTCCTGTCTGCTTCAGGACACTCTAAGATCAAGTTCTTGCTCATATTCAGTATGGAACGCTTCTCTCTGTCCCTGTGTCTCATGCCATGGCTAGTATTAGTGCATTGCATGGGGCCATCCTAAGTGTGGTTTCTCCCAGTGTTCTGGAGCAGACTCAGGCCCTGATATGCTGTGTTCTCCTTGGTCTCCAACACTCCTGGAAGTGCATCCTCCATGGTAGGAATATTTTATTTATTTATTTAATTATTTAATTATTTATCTATCTATCTATCTATCTATCTATCTATCTATCTATCTATTTATTTAGTGTGTGTGTGTATCTGTATATCATGCATATAGGGGTCAGAGGAAACCTTGGGAGACTTGGTTTTCTCCTTCCACCAGGTGGGTTCTGAGAATTAAACTCTTTAGACTTGGCATCAAGTGTCTTTACACATTGATCCATCTACCTTTTCTGTCTTGAATCTTGATCATCTCTTCATGCTGGTGGTGGCTGGGTTATGTCATATGAAATTACAGTTTTCCCTTGTGATTACTAACAGTCTGACAGGGAACACTTGGCTATTTGTCATTATTCTGCTCCTTATCTCATCTCCACCAACCAGCTGTCCTGTGAATTAGTAACTCCTCTTGTTTTAATCACTTCACCACCTGACATGACACTGTGTGGAAAGGTTTCTCTCCCCAGTTCCGATTTTGTACTGTAATATGTTATTCTTCATTATTATAAGTATTAAATCAATCCCTCTTTGACTAGTGGAAGCCCTTTCATTGGGAGGTTTTTCATGCTTTAATTTATTTTTTGTAGAAATTTATACAACATATTTCAATATTATTCCTTCTTTTGACAAGGATTCATATATTTAAAATAAAATTTTTAAATTAAATTCTTTGACAAGAATTAGAGAGATGAATTAACAATTAAGAGCACTTGCTGCTCTTCCAGAGGACTCAGGTTAAATTCCCAGCATCCACATGGCAGCTCACAACCAGCTGTAACTACAGTTTTAGGAAATCTATTGCAGGCTTCTCACCTCCACATGCACCAAGGACACATGGTATACATACATATACTTAAGGCAAAACACCCTGTACAATAAATAAATATTTTTTTAGGAAATTGCTGACAAGGATATATATTTTTAAAATAAAATTCTACTTTCATGTAACAAAAAACCCACCTTCTGTTTCTGTAGGTGTGAATCTGCATGTGTGATTCTGTATGTGTGAGTTTGTATGTTTGATTCTGTAGGTGTGATTCTGTCTATGTGATTCTATAAGTGTGACTCTAGGTGTGATTCTGTAGGTGTGAGACACTGCCCACATTTCCAAACTAAATGCTGTGGGAGGAGATACTGAGGCCACAGATCCTAGACCTTACTTTGAGGAAGGCTCTTGCCGTGGCTGCTCCCTGAGTCTTTGCAAGCTCTCTACTACCATCCCCCCAATGATCCAGCTTATGACAGAAGGGCTTTTCCTGAGCCTAAGCTGCTCTTCCTACAATCTGTTTTAATATTTTAATTCCACACCTGTTATTTATCTTTCTCTGTGTCCTTTTTTTTATCTATCTCCTTCTTCCTCCCTGTCTCCTCTTCTCCCTGCTTTCTCCCTTTCTCAAACACATTCAGGCACACACAATCCTTGCTGTGTAGCAGTGAGCTCTCATAGTTTCTTGGACAGACATTTTAGTTCACACTGTGCACAGCTGGTTCTTTCTCTTCCTAGCTGCTGGTACTCTGTTTTACCTGCAGATGGGTTGCAAATCTACTTCGCTTTCAAGGAATCCTTGTCTGCTTCTGTCCACCTGCATTGATATTACTATCTGGCCTGGCTGTCTTTGAGGCTGTCTGTCTTTGGATACAGTGATACCTCATAGTATATGCTTATGAGATGCTTTTCTTGAAGTTTCATAGTTGTTCATTTTACTGTGTAGCCCAGGCTGATATCACTTTCTTGCCTCTGACTTCTAAATGCTGGAATTCAAGGTGTGCACTACACTTCACAGCTTTCTCATTCTCTTTTCCTTTTCTGCCTCCCTCCCTCCTTCCCCCTTTTCTCCCTTCCTTCCTTCCTTCCTTCCTCCCTTCTTCCCTCCATCCTAACCCCTCTCTTTCTTTCATTCTTTCTGTTTGTCTTTTTGAAACAGGGTCTCATGTACCCTAGCTGGGCCTTGAACTCCTGATCCTCCCAAGTTCTGGGATGTTACAGATATGTCACCATACCCAGCTTTTATGAAAATATTTTCATAGCAGGTTTAAACACATTTTTGGTTATTGTTTCTCCTAACAGAAGACATGACCCCCTGAAATGGCAGTTCAGCTTATTTTTTCCTATCATGGAATTAAACCAGAGATCCAACCCCAGGTTTGCCCCTCACTGTGACTCCCTGGCCTGTTTCCTGACCTTTAAGCCTTATCAACAGGAATGGGGAAATTGTGTTGACATGCCGTATGCCGGTATTGTGAGAATTGAGATGAGGTTCTTGCTGAAGGGTTTAGCAGGAAGAATAAGTGGTTAGTAATGTGAATCACATTATCAGAACAATGAAAACCAATTCCCGAAGAGGCAGAATGTGTAAATGATTGAAGGGAATTGTGCATACAATCATAATTGTAGTCTTTGCTCTGTCATGGGTTCTCAGGCTTGAGTGAACCTGCTGATCACCCTAGTTGCCTGTTCATGATATGGACTCCTTGCACTGACTCCCCAATATTCCGATTCAGTGTCTGAGAAGACTGTGCAGGGGTCTACATAGTAACACTCTAGTCAACCCTGGACTACTAATGTCCCACACTTTACAAAGCTAGTCTTTTAAATAAAAGCTTGGAGCTTGGTTTCTCTATCAAGTGCATAATACAAGTGAGAAGAGGTGTTTTTAAGAAAAATTCAAGCTGAAATGGGAATGAAGAATGTAACTTCAGAAATAAAATATTTGTTGAGAATTTCAAGGTTCGGCTGTCCAGTGACTTATGACTTTTCCCTCTATGAACTTAGGATGTCTATGAGGGGACAGACAATCATCTTCTCCATTAATCAGGCTCAGTACTCCATCTTCAGATTTTTTGATAGCCTCACCTTAGTGGCCTCAGGAAAAGTCATGTATCACGGGCCTGCACAAGAAGCGCTGGAGTACTTCACATCCGCAGGTATGGCTGGCTTTTGCTGTGAGAGCTCCTTCATTCATGGGATCTGGGGAGAGAACAGGGTTTCTCAGGAATGTTCCTTGACCCTCATGCAGGTTTACTGTGTGTGGCTTTCTCCATTTTAAATACCTTTGGTTAATTTGATGACAGGACTCTGTTAGTTGTGTAGCCCAGGCTTGTTGTTCAGGTCTCTTTTCTTTCTGCTGTCCTGTATCATGCCTGGGTTACAGTATTTTTCCTAGGTCTCTTGTTCTGCTTCCAGTTGTGGTGACCCTCTTAATTAATATGCTGTCCTCAAGTCCAGTTATCTGTCATTGGAACAGCTTTGGAAAGCCCAGCATCATCGTGTTCTTGCTCAGGTAGCAGATGGTGGTTTTCAGTTTTCCCCTAGTGTGATCTGACTCTGAGGAGCTGTGGAGATGTTACTTAACTTAGCAATAACTTGGTGTTTCAGGTTTAGGCAAAGCTTGGGGGCTGTAGTGGCTCAAGTCTGACTTCTGTGGACTTATATATTTGTCTGCCTGTATTTTTCAGAGTCAGATTGGATGATGAAATATTTTGTAATGGTTCATGCTGTCAGTTTTATCTTAGAGAAATATGAATATAGTTATGGATGATTCTCTCTACAAATATAAGTTAAATATTTGTTGTCTATCACTCTTTATTTGTTTTTGATTAACCTTTGTCATTTAAAAATGTGTAAACGTTTGTGAGTCTTTGGAGTCCAATAAAAATTTAGGCCAAATTCAAATGATTGTTTCATAGGAAGAGTTCATACAAATATGTATAACATACACATAAGCATACATATATATTCATAAATGTGTATATACATATATAATATATGTTAGACTGGAAAGCAGATATTATTGAAATTTTATGCTTATATATAAGGGAAAATGATGTTGATGGGGGAGGGGAAAGAAGAGGAAGAAGTTTTAGATTCTGTCTCCCCTCCCCATCCCACTCTCTGAAAGAGGGTCCTCAGGTTTGTGTTCTTGGCCTACCTTCTTTGTAGGTTATGAATATGATTCCCAGAACAACCCTGAGTTCTTCTTCCTGGACATCATTAATGGAGGTTTCCCTGCTATATTAGACACAGAGGAATACAATCATGCTGGTATGTGAATCTTCTAGAGTCAGATTTTTGCTTAACTGATTTCATTAAAACACAACAGTATGGTTCATTAGAATCTAGCTTTTTTAGCTTTTTATGTTAATTCAGTGTCCTAAAATTAACTAATAGAGTTTGCTGTCTGTTAGTGTTTGGTATTTTTTATTTAATTTATAAAAGACAATTTATATGCTATTGTCAGTTGTAAAGTTCTGTTGTACTTACTGTTTGTCATATTATTCTTGTTATTATTTTAGATGTGGTTTGCTTATGTAGCCAGACTGGCCTTAAATGTGTGCTCTTTCTACCTCACCTCCCAATTATAGGTATTACAGGGTTTATTGGCTAGTTTTATGTTAATTTGACAGAAGCTAAAGTCCTGAGAGGAAAGAACCTCTGTTAAGGAAATGCTTCCATGAGACTGGGCTGTAGGTAAGCCTGTAGGGCATTTTCTTAATTAGTGATTGATGGAGGAGGGTCCAGCCCATTGTGTGTAGGGCCATCCCTGGACTGGTGGTCCTGGGTTCTATATGAAAGCTGGCAGAACAAGCCAATAGGCAGCATGCCTCCATGGCCTCTATATCAGCTCCTGCCTCCAGATTCTTGTCCTGTTTGAGTTCCTGTCCTGACTTCCATCAGTGATGGACCACCATGTGGAAGTGTAAGCCTAATACCCTTCCCCCCACTTGGTTTTGGTCATGGTGTTTCATCACAGCAATAGAAACCCTCACTAAGACGCAGAGATATGTCACCATGCCTGCTTTTTTTTTAAAATAACATTTTAAAACATGATACATTTGCATATACATTCACATTTGGCAGAAAGTAACTCCGACCATGGGAGACCAGCTCACACTATCAGCTCAGGGTAATAAAAGGAATGCCTCAGAGTAGCAAAGGATAGGAAACTTTTTTATCTGAGGGTATTTAGGAATAAGTTTTAATCTTCCTATGACTGGTGAAATAAGGAAACACACGCTTACTGGTGGTAACTTTCTCTTTTACTTCTTTTTTTTAATTTTTAATTTTTATTTTGCAATACAATTCAGTTCTACATATCGGCCACGGATTCCCTTGTTCTCCCCTCTCCGGCCCCTCTTTTACTTCTTAAAAAATGGTCTCTGACTCTTTCTGTCTCCACACAAATACATTCCACATTGTTATGTTCTCCATAAAGGAAAGTTACATTCCACACTGTTACATCCCTCACTCAGCGCACGCGCGCGCGCACACACACACACACACACACACACACACACACACACACACTCACACACTCTCACATTCATTCTTCCTTCTGCACAACTCTTTTCACAGCCGTTCTCTCCATAGCTTTTTACTTTTTTCTCTGGCTATTCAGCTGCGTCCCTCATTCAGCACGTACCCACACTTTCTCACTCACTCACTCCTCTTCATCTTTATTCTTCTACAAATTTATTCTACTACATCTCCATTCTAATATGTCTCTATTCTACTACATCTCTGTTCTACTACACCTCTATTCTACTACATCTCTATTCTATTAAATCTCTATTCTACTACACCTCTATTCTACTACATCTCTGTTCTACTACACCTCTATTCTACTACATCTCTATTCTATTAAATCTCTATTCTACTACATCTCTATTCTACTACATCTCTATTCTACTACATCTCTATTCTACTACACCTCTATTCTACTACATCTCTATTCTACTACATCTCTATTCTACTACATCTCTGTTCTACTACACCTCTATTCTACTACATCTCTATTCTACTACATCTCTATTCTACTAAATCTCTATTCTACTAAATCTCTATTCTACTACACCTCTATTCTACTACATCTCTATTCTACTACATCTCTATTCTACTACTCATTACAAATTACCAAGTATATATAATCCATTCATTAGCAACTTGTTTGTAAAAACTACAAACTCTCAGGGACAAATATTCTGATAAGAGTCACACTTAGCAAAGACTCGGTCAGCTTAATTGGTGACTGACAACAGCTGTAGGTTGTAAAAAGTGCTGGCTGTCTCTTAAAGGGATAGCTGCAAGGGTGCAAGGGAAAAAACTAAACCAATGAGAGATTTAAGGAAAAGGCAAAGAATATGTGTACCATTTTATGTCATTAATAATATTCAGATATGGTTAGTCAGTTAACAGCCTTTTACTGTTAATCACCTAAATCCCAGGACCTATACATAATTAGTCTACTGAGCCTAGAATCTTGCATTAAAAACTGAGTAGAAATAAATACAAAGTGTTAATTATTTTTTTTAATTAAAGTGGGGAGGTGCCGGTGGAGGAGCTTAGGGCAACCTAGGTGTTATTGATCTCTTGAAGGACTAAGATATACCAAGACCAGACACTGCACTATCACTTCTAGTTCGCTGTAATTCTTCTGAAGGATTTTGATCCAATAAGACCAGGTTTGATCCAATAAGACCAGGTACCTGCAATTCTGCTCTGTGAAAGATCCACAAGGACTCCTAGTCTGACCAATATTTGCCTTGTCAGTGGCTAAGGATGGAGAACAAGACCTCTAAATGCCTACAGTCCACATGGAACAATAGATCTAGTATGAAGCATATCTTAGTATGTTTCTATTCATCAAAATTATACACTTAAATAAGAAGTCATCTTCCTGACTACCCACAAATATGTGTGCCCATAAGATTGAGATGTAATCATGTGATTAAATGTACACATTACATGGAAATGATGGTAATGGGGAGATTTCATAGCCGTTATTGCATAAGTGAAATTACAGATGAAAGCAACAGTATTCAGAGTCAGTGGCCTACAAGCCTTGCTGGACAGGGTACCCCACCGAGAATCACTCCTGTGGTGGGTTGACATCTGAATTATCAATTGCTATGAACTGCAATTGGTCATGGCCTCCAATAGTTGCTGACAGTGGCTCCTGACAAGAAAGCAGGGACCAGACTTTTATGTTACCAAGCATAGATCCATAAGGGAAAGGAAGACTTGGTTAAGAATTGGGGTCCAGATAGGAAGAAGTCATTTAGTTTGCTGTGTCCATGGGATAATGGCAGTAGTCAGGTCAGTTAGGGACACTCTTCTAATCTGTTAAGGAATTACACAGCAATGATTTTATTATGTTCAAAATATGGTGGCCTGAAGATGTAAGTTAGCAGGTAGAATGCTTGCCTAGCATGCACAAAGCCTTGAGTTTGGTTCTTAGCACAGCATAACTATGTGTGAAGTGCATGCCTGTCATCACAGCACCTGAGACAGACACAGGAGGACCCGGAGAAGTTTAAGGTCACCCTTGGCTTCATAGCAACTTTAGGGCCAGTCTAGGGTACATGAGACTGTCTCAAAGAAAAACTGATACATAATTTGTTGTTTGTGATAAGTGTCTCAGAAAAATCAGTTAAATTGTTGTCTAACTGTTTCTTGTCTTTATCCACTTTTACCCCAAAGCCGACAAATATACAGAGCTTTCTGAGAGACAGCACCAAGTCACAGAAAAATTAGCCAACATGTATGCCCAGTCCTCCTTATGCAGAGAAACGAGAACTGAACTGGATTTACTCTTGGGGGAACAGAGGGCAGGGAGGATCTCAGCCTTGGAGGAGATCACGTGTGTCACCCCTTTCTGGCATCAGCTCGGGTGGATTATCTTTCGTTCATTCAAAAATTTCCAGGATTTTACATGGATCACTATAATTCGGGTAATCTGATGAATTATTTTAATTGCATTGTAAAAAACTCAAGTGGGAACAATTTGTGTCTGAGTCAGTCTACTTCAGGTTCACATTTGTCTTCTACTCTCATGTAATTTTCATTTCCACTTGGCATATAGAAATATTCAATAAAGCAAGTAGGACACAGTTAACTTTTTACTTACAGAGAACAATTTTATTGGTGATTTTTTTTTATTTAGAGGAACTGTAATGACTAATCCAAGTAGGAAATTTAATTCAGGGAAGGCAACAAGAAATTCAGCACACCTGGGAGTTCTTCACACTGGTCTAATTTAATTTAATTCACCAGTGCATCCTATAAGTTCAAAGTCCAGAAATGAGTCAGGGAGTCAAAGGCTTCTGTCCTGATGTAACTTTTCATGGGGGTGGATGGATGGTAACTGAATAAACAGATAAATTGTAGCATGTGACATGAAAGAATGGACTTTGGAGAAAGTTTAAGTAGGAAGGGTGGAGGTGACTGGGGAGGGGAAGGGGGCTGATCTGTACTTGAAATCATGGGATGAGGAAACAGGGCCATTGATCCCCTCTGAGGGAGCCTGTGCATGCACTGCCTGAGAGACGAGCCCAGTGCAGAGTGCTGTTCCTTATTGGAGTCCAGTGTGAGAGCAGAAGCCACTCAGAGTGCAGTTCACACACAGATAGTGACTGGACTGAACAGTGCTCTTCCCTGTCAGCTGACTGGGAACTGGGAGGAAGTGAGGTTCTACTTTTCTTTAAACCGGCTCTGTAACAAGGATCATCTGTAGATGTATCCAACCTTCTTATTAAATAATAAACACAGAACCAATGCAAAGAAGAAAGCCAAGAGGTCAGAGCTAAGAGCTAAAACCTTACCCTTCCTCCTGCGGTGGTCCTACCTCTCCGAACCAGAGCTACCCCTGTGTTAAAGTCTTTATATAGAGTTCCTGTCCTGCCTTCTCATTGGTTGTAAACCCAACCACATGACCGCCTCCTCACAGCCTGTCTGTATAGGCCTCCAGGTTTTCCATGATTGGTATTAAGATTAAAAGCATGTGTATCCAATAATGGCTGTATCCCTGAACACACAGAGACTTACCCAGCTCTGCCTACCAAGTGCTGGAATTACAAGCGTACGCTACCACCGCCCTGCTTTCCTATGGCTTGCTAATAGCTCTGACCCCCGGGCAACTTTATTTATTAACATACAAATAATTTTTTTTTTTTTTTTTGGTTTTTCGAGACAGGGTTTCTCTGTGTAGCTTTGCGCCTTTCCTGGGACCCACTTGGTAGCCCAGGCTGGCCTCGAACTCACAGAGATCTGCCTGGCTCTGCCTCCCGAGTGCTGGGATTAAAGGCGTGCGCCACCACCGCCCGGCCATATTTTAATACAAATAAAATATCACCATATTTCCCCTTTTCTATTTTAATAAAAAGGAAAAAAAAAGAAAAAGCTTATAACTAATATAAGAAAAACTATATACAAAAGTACAATAACTATATACAATATATACAAGTAATAAATACCTAAACAATGTCTAGTCCATTTGTATTTGACAAATTCAGAAAAATAATTTCATTATCTATCCTATTTTGGTAAGTCCAAAATGTATCCTAATTAATCTTCAACTATAACTAACTAAACTTCAACTATAACTAACTAATCTTCAACTCCCTCAGAGACCCAAGAAGGAAATAATATTAGCTAACAAAAATAAAAACAGGAAGTGCACATAAGCAACTTCCAAAAAATTTGTGAGTTGACAGAAACAGACAGCTGTCTGGACAGTCACCTGAGGTTTCTCCGAAGTGCTGGGGCATCATCTTCAGCCTATAGGCTTAGAATATCTGACAGACTCATTTGTGAAGTAGGATGTACACAAGGTCAACAGTTCAACCTCACATTGAGTGAGAGTAGTCCATGTACCAGAAATACCTGAATTCCACTAGTGTCATGTCATGATTCAGGATTTTAAATTCTGGAAATTGTTGATGGTTTTTTAATTCAGCTGTCCATTCTTCTTGGCTGTGTATATATGGCTTCATCTCAGCATCCCATTCTTCTCCATATCCCTCCATCAAATGCCAGTCTACTATTGAGAGGCGTGAGCTTAGTTACTCTTCAAGAATAACTGTTTCAGATGCTGTTCCATTGCACATCAGAGGCCATCGGCCCACTGCCTGTTCAGCTGCCTTTGAAGAAAAGGGCACTGTACCTTTTTCGAATTGCGAAGGCCACTTCAGGGATGGTGCCATATTGTCCTGGCCTCTGAAGATGCCTTTTGATAAAGCCCTAAACACACTTGTTTTGGCAAGAATCAGTAATCCTTTGTTTTATGTCCTGTCTGTCCATTTTGTCCTGTTGATTCGAGGATACTTTGTTGTCCAGTGGCTAACTTTTGCCACAATGAAAGTTAACTCCATATGCAGTTTCTTCAATGCCCATATTTTCTCTGAAGTAGATTGGTACTGCCAGGAGCCGACATGTCTCATAGTCATAACAAAAAAGAAAAATTTTCTAAGTTATTAAAACATTTTAAATGCCATATTCTGTAGATCTCTGAAGGGTTTGAAGATAACCTGTCTATCTAAAATATATCTACTCAATCTTGAAAACATACCTAATATAACTACAAGTTCTATTATAATATCTAACTACTAACTTTCATTTCTTTATATCCTAATAGTTGGTAATAACATTCAAGGATCAGAAAATTGCATTACATTGTTAGATGAATGGTACAATTAGAAAAATATATATAACATTTTCTAACAATATCAATTTCAATATATATAATTTGTATACAATATAAAACAATCCAATCCAATGTAAAGTATTTACATTTTTCTTTTCTTTCTTTCTTTTTTCTCTCTTTTTTTTTAAATAAGAACCTTAAATCTAATCTCCTTTGCTTAGCCTTTTTCCTAACCCTTGACAACAACTTGTAACCAACCCCCCTAATCAATGAAAATTATCCCAGACCCAAAACCCATTAAAAGACCAAAAAAACCAACCGCCCCACACCACCTCTTTGGTTTTTTTTTTTTTGGTTTTTTTTTGTTTTGTTTTTTCGAGACAGGGTTTCTCTGTGTAGCTTTGCGCCTTTCCTGGAACTCACTTGGTAGCCCAGGCTGGCCTCGAACTCACAGAGATCCGCCTGGCTCTGCCTCCCGAGTGCTGGGATTAAAGGCGTGCGCCACCACCGCCCGGCAACACCACCTCTTTGGGAATGTGGGCGTCGTATTCTTGAAATTGCTTCCTGCTGGGTATGGGCGAAGGTATCTTTATCCTGAAAGAAAAATTTTAGGTTAATTGTCAAATTCTAGGAAAGGTAAATATATCCTTCGTTATCCAGTCTGTGTATAATGCCAAAATTCAGGGTTTATCTCAAATCCTTATTCAAGTAGTCTTTGAGACTGGATCATCTCAGCTAGCTCTTCTCAAAATTGCTCTGAGCACTTTGTAGTTCAAAGCTGATCTGTAGATGATGTTTGTCAGCTTAGTGATGTTATTATTGTCCACGTGGAATTGTTGTTGTTGTGGGGCCCCATCTTCTTCCTGGAGACTTCAGTTGATGTTAGGCCTAACCGTGATTTCCTGCAAAAAACTGATAAGAGACTCGAACACAAAGACTATATATGCAACTTTTTAGAATTAGTTAGTACTCTATATGACCATTTATATCTTAACAAAGTTTAAAATGTATATATATCTATATATATTGATCTTGTAAATTTTGATATAAAATTCATACTTTAAGAAAAGTTTAAAGAATCAGAATAGAATCAAAGAGTTGAGATTCGTAATAGAATAGTCCCTTAATTAATTTGGCTTTTCTCCTGTCCCATAGCAGAAGATGGCTCTTTTCTTCTGGCATGATACAGGGAGTTTGCATTTTCCTTTTAACAACATGCTTGAGTTTAAAGAAGGAGAGAGCCATTCTCCAACTCCAAAGTCAGCTTTAAATTTTAATTGAACTGGGACTATTAGAAGTTAAATAGTGTTAAATCTTTAAAGAAAAGCAGAAACAAACATTTAGGAAGACATAAAATTTTTTTAGATAACATACCCATATGCCATTTCACTCTGTTTCTTAGGATAGATGATTTGTTCCTTTTCTTCAGTTGTCTCATTTGTCCAGTGTTCTTCAAATTCCTTAACCTTCATTCTCCTAAAAGACAAAAACAAAAACCTTTCCCCAAGGTTTTTTGGGGATGTTCCTTTTTGACAAGTTATCTGATTAAATGAAAAGGCATGTGTTACTGGTGTAAGTTAGTTTAAATTGGATGTTTACAATAGTTGATGAACTATCACCTCCTCTAATTAAGAGGTCTCTCTTGTTCAAATCGAACCTTTATCAATTTTGATGGTACCCACAGCTTATCTTCTCCTGTAGAAATAAAAGCAAAACCTCGTCCCCAACGTAACACATACCCTAGTTTCCATTCTGAGGTCAGCACATCCTTAAAGTATATAGGTTGATTTAATTCTGTAGTTTTTTCTATTATCCAATGTCTCTCTGCAGCTGTTGTTCCTTTCTCATTGGCATTGAGAAAATTCAAAGTTAATAGAGCATTATGTAGTCTATTTCTGGGGGTTTTTGTTACTCCTTTTTGTTTATTTAGCATATCCTTTAGAGTTCTGTTTGATCTTTCTATAACTGCTTGACCTGTAGGATTATGTGGTATACCTGTAACATGGTTTATATTATAATAAGCAAAAAACTGTTTCATTTTAACAGAGACATATGATGGAGCATTATCAGTTTTGATTTGTGCAGGTATACCCATGATGGCCATAACTTCTAGCAAATGAGTGATTACAGAATCAGCTTTTTCAGAACTCAAAGCAGTTGCCCATTGAAATCCTGAATAAGTATCGATAGTGTGGTGTACATATTTCAGTTTTCCAAATTCTGCAAAGTGAAACACGTCCATCTGCCAGATTTCATTCCTCTGAGTACCCTTTGGGTTACATCCTGCTGGTAATGGTGTTTGATTGTAGA